AACCAGTTGTTGTCATCGTCGTCATTGATTGCTATCGAGTCGAGAACGACTCATAGCAACCCTATGAAAAAAAGACCCAAAGCCTTTCTATAAACTATCATTTCTCAAAGTTCATAGAGTTTCCAGAGGCATGTTGTTTAGGAAATGGATGCCACTCCTGCTTCCAAACCTGTCTTAAAGTGGGAGCTCCACCAAACATTGTGAAACATGTTGTTGTTATGTGCTGTCGAGTTGCTTGCAACTCATAGCGACCCTATGTACCACAGCCCTAAACTCTGCTCTGTCCTGTGCCAATCGCACTATCTCCGACACACTTATCCCTGTTACCCCAGTCACTGAATCAATCCACCTCATAGAGGGTCTTCCTCTCCTGTGCTGTCCCTCCACCCTCCCAAGCATGATGTCCCTCTCCAAGGACTGGTCCCCCCTTGCAACATGTCCAAAGTATGTCAGACAAAGCTTCAGAATCCTTGCCTCCAAGGAACAGCCTGGCTTTACCCTCTCCAGGACAAACCTATTCGTTTTCTTAACAGTTCAATACTCTTTGCCAGCACCACAGCTCACAGGCATCAACTCTCTTGCTATCATCCGTAGTCATTGTTCAGCTCTCTAATGCACAACAAATGATTACAAAGACTATGGCCTAAAAAGGAAAGGAAACCTTGAACCTTACGTACCAAGCAAATGCCGGGGCTAGCACGTGCTAGTCCTTAATGTTTTAGAGACCCTCTGAAAAAGAATTTTCAACAAAGTACAAGAATTTAAATCATTCCTTTCTTTAATTTTGTAATTCTTTACTGTGGAAGAGCTCAGAATGTCAGTTCTGATTTAGGTAACAGAATTGATAACTGAGCAAGGAAATGTAATTTGGATTATAAAATTCTTGCTTTAATAAAAATTCCTAAATCGTGGAAAAAAAAAAAAAAGACTATGGCCTGTATCAGGCGCACCTTAGTCTCCAGACTGACATCATTGCACTTCAGTACTTTAGAGAGGTCTCTAACTGCAGACTTTCTCATCACAATATGTCTTTTAATTTCCTGGCTGCTAGTGCAAAGAGTGTTGACTGGGGAGCCAAGCAAACCAAAACTATGAACAATCTCAATCTCTTCACCATCCATCATGATGCTGCCAATTGGCCCAGTGGTATGAAATACAGACCCATGGAATTCCAGTACAGGAAATCTTATTGTTTTACTGTAAAAAGTATTGCCAAGCATTGTACCTCCATGTCTTCATTAATTACTACATCGTTACTAACACTGTTGTTGTTGTTGTTAGTGACCAGCTCGTGATGACTTCTTATGTAGATTCTATGTCCATATGGGCCCCAAGTCTGTGTCCTTTTTTTAGAGACCTCTAGGGTTATCTTTTTAGGTAACTCTGGGTGTGTTCAAATTATCAGTCTTTTGGTTAATAGTCAAGCACTTAACAGTTTGTACCACCCAGGGAGTCTGTTTATTAACATTAGACAGGCAATATCCTCCTGTGCGATCTACTAACTCTGAAACCCCCTGGAGAATCAGGTATGACTCTCTTCTGACTCAAGGGGACACAAGAACAACACAACACTCGTCTGACTGATAGGGACCCTGGATTAGGTTTTTGAGGCTGTAAATCTTCATGGGAGGAGATTGTCTTTCTCTCATGAAGCAGGTGATAGATTCAAACCAATGGCCTATTGTTTCACAGTTTGAGACATCATGCACTATGACACCAAAGCTCCTGTTACTAAGTAGGACATTTATTAATTAGGGGCCAGTTCACCCCCTGAACTTGACTACTAGCAAGAAAGGTGGGCAGTTCAAATTCACCTAGAGGCACCTTGAAAGAAAGGCGTGGTGATGGGCAGCTGAGCCCCCAGCACTGCGGAGCAAATTGACTGCCCACACGTGAAGGCACCGTGAGTCAGACCTGGCTCGGTGGCAACGGGGCTGGATTTCTGTCTTCCCCTTCTGGAAACATCCTGGGGGCAGAGACCAAAGGCCGTGTGCTCTTTCAGTGCTCTTTGCCCACACAGCTCCGGCCCGCCTTCCGGTTGACCTTCAGAGCTAATAGCTTTTTCTCTTCGAACCGAAGCCTTCACCCTTCCTTAGCATCTGGCTGCAAAGGTTAAGCAAGACTGTTTGGATTTTGTACACCAAGGACGCGCACATAAACAGCCTCATGTTCTCACCGACCCACGCCGCGGGCATCCGAGCGGTGGTCCCCCTCCTCCACGGGGGTGTGAGTGTCAGCAGCACTCTGGCCCGTGCAGTGCACACCTTTGCTCCAGGATCTTCACCGTTAATCCAGAGCAGAGGTCGTGCACTCCGGAGGCAGGTGGAAGCTCATTTTGCTCTCGCTGCAGTTCTGCATGGCCTGCGTGCAAGAATAGAGGGAGTAACTCTTTATGTGACGTTGTGGCTCTAACAGGAAAAATGCATCAGAGAAGTGATGGCTAGATCAAAGCGTTTCCCTCAGCCTGCACAAGCGCCAGTTGGTTTCATCATCCCCACACCCTTAAATATAAACGGTCCATAAAAACGCAAACCAAACTCATTGCGAGTTAAGTGGGTTTTGAGTCATGGCGACCCTCTTGGCAGAGGGTAGCATCCCCAGGTGTAAATGTTCGTGGAACCAGGTGCCTCGTCTCCCTCCCTCCCAGGGAGCAGCTGGTGGTTTCTGACCGCCTGTCTTTCAGGGAGCAGCTGAGGGCTGCACCAGAGCCCCACCAGGGCCCCTCGACAGCCCATACATAGCACACGGGTTTTGTGTTCTGTTTGCACTTTAACACTCAGAGGTCTCCAAAGCTGGTTCTGAGAAAGTGAGAAGAATGCCGAGCATTTCCACTGCATTGTGCTGGGCCAGGGACATCAAAGGTTCCGTGGGGCGTGTGAGAGCAGAGAGGCGACCCGCCTTTGCCTTGTTTTCCAGCCCCTCGTCTGAAGGGCCAGCCAGGCGTGGGGAAGTTGCGCACACGGTATGTGTGAGGCACCCTGTTTGCCTTGGAAGGACTTTTGACACGCTAACTCTGTGGACTCCTTGGCCTCTGGCTCAACCGGCCTGAGGGTGGGGTGTGGGGGGTGGTGCTCATGTCAATTCAGTGCAACACGAGCTCAGGATGTTTCCATGTAACATGACCTCATCTCTTCCAGGCCGCTGGTCATCGTTGCACTGGGGGTCCCCTTTGACTAAGTGGTTACAGAAATAATTCCTTTAATTGCCCGAGAAGAAGTTAATAGATGGCACCTCTGTTCTGCCCACCTCCCAGAGAAGCAAAGGCTATTACTAATGCTGTCTCCACGACAGCATAACAACTCGTTAATTCAAAGGAAAGCAAAGCAAAATAAAACCATCCAGTGGATGCCAGACCAGTCATTGGGCATCAGGCTGATTAAATCACTGGGAGAAGTTTCTCTTTTTCCAAATAATTGTCTTGGGTTGGTTTGTGGGTTTTTTTTTTAATCTTAAATATTACAATCACAAAAGTTGAGTACTAAATATTTCATATTTGCTAAATATTTATCTATCATTCACTAGATCTAGGGCTTCAAATGGATTTCAAACAGTTAAGTCATGCTGACAAAGTAAAACGTAACAGACCTGTATTTGAACACTTTGGATCTTCTAGGATGATTACTGGCAAAGGAGAAACTAAGGGTCAGAGCTCTAGAATTGGAGACTTACAAGAGGCATAGTAAGCCCTTTCAGCAACTTGATGCAAGAGACTGGACTGTTGTTAGGACTGAGAAGAGTGACACATGTTTAAAGTGGCAAGCTTGGTTTCCATCTTTGAGCTTGACACCGTTGTTTCTAACTGTGTCATTCAAGACGTCTGGTTGCTATGCAACACATACCTTGCCTTCTTTGTTAAGAGGGAAATTATGCTTCTGTCCAGTCTAGAATTCTTTTTTGTTCCAGGTCTCATTCTGGCTCATCTACATTTTACAGATTTGGGTGTGTTTTGGGTTAACTTCGTTGGTCATGACTGAACTGTCAAAAACCCTGATTTAAAGCCTTGACAATATTCTTAAGAGGGAGTTCTGATGGCATAATCCGTAAGGAGTTGTGCTGGAAACCCAAAGGTGAGGCCTCTCAGGTGGTTCAAATCTAGCAGCAGCTTCTATGAAGAAGGATGGGTAATGTCCTATCACAAGATTTGTTGCTATTGTTGTTATGTGCCGTTGAGTCCCTTGGGATTCGTAGTGACCCTATGTACAAGAACCCTAAACCCTGCTCTATCCTGTGCCAACCTCACTGTCTCCAACACACTCATTCCCACCACCCCACTCACAGAATCGATCCATCTCATCAAGGGTCCTCCTCTCCTGCGCCATCCCTCCACTCTCGCAAACATGATGTCCCTCCTTACAACATGCCCAAAGTATGTCAGACGAAACTTCAGAATCCTTGACTCCAGGGAACATTCTGGCTTCACTCTCTCTAGGACAAACCTGTTTGTTTTCCTAGCAGTCCATGGTATATTCAACACTGTTCTCCAGCACCACAACTCAAAGGCATCAGTTCTCTTTCTATCATCCCTAGTCACTGTCCCAAGATTTACAGCCTCCAAAATCCCACTAGAGAATCAGCAGTGAATTGGTTCTGATGCCAGGGAGCAGTGACTATATCATCCAGAACTGGTTCAGAGTGCTGAACCTCGGGTGCTGCCAGGGGTGAATGAATTAATGAAGTGTCTGATCTCATGGTGTGAAACCAGCCTGGAGGTGAGTAAACCAACAGGAAGATCATTTCAGGTGGTGAAAATAAAGCGATGAGACTCTGTAAAGAATAAAGGAGGAGAGGATACACATAACGTTCTACCCAGGAAAAGAAAATGATTGCTTGAAAAATATGAACTAGTTGGGTAAAAACAACTGTTAACGAGGAAAGTCATTCCTGCATTGGAATTATTAGGAAATCTTGGAATTGTCCCCCTTACATATATATATGCTCTTATCAGAAAAGAAATCCCGACTCACTGCAGTGCATGAACCATCTGTCTCCATCCCTCACAGGAGGAAGCCCAGCCAAACAGACCACATGGGAAGGAGGACACCGGGTCCCAGCCTTGGCTTACTGGCCTGGCAGAGTCCCCGCCAATGTCACCAGCACTGCCTTGTTAAGGTACGAGTCCCTGGAGACTTTGGGGTCTACGGCGAGCAGAAGTCACGGATTCTTGGGTGGTCACAGCTGCTGGTAAACTCACCTGTCGCGTGCCTATGTGTGGTGGCAGATGGCTGGGCTGGAAACGGATGGGCAGCAGGAAGGAACACACTTTGGGAAGCCCTGGGAATTCCTGGCCCCTTGGGTCTTTCTGAGGAGAGAACATGCCCAGAGAGGAGGAAATGAGAAGGAGAGAAAAATCCAAGTCGAAAGGAAGCACCTTGTGCTCAGCTAACATTGGAACTCTGTTTGGAGCAGTGTGCCTTTGCCTCGAAGGCAGTTGTGTGTGCCAATTAATTAGTATCTTGGGACTCCTCTCAGTCTGTCCTGTGGGGATAATGTCCACGTCCCGAGTGATTAGGGTGGGTTTCACTTCTTTTAGGGCTGAGTCATAGCTCTGCCTGCTGAAGAGGAGAACCAAGCCAGCCGCCGGAGAGCCAGTTCCCACTTTCAGTGGCCCCGTGTGGGTCAGAGAACTGTGCTCAGTGAGCTCTTCTCTGACTGGTGTTTTGGAAGTAGGTCATCAGGCCTGTCTTCTGAGATGTCTTTGGATGGATTTGATCCACCAACCTTCCAGTAAGCAGGCAAGCACTTAATCATATGTGCCATCTAAGAACTCTCTGCTAATGGGGGGGGGGGGGGAAGAGCAAAAAGAGAGACGGGCTTAGCTCTTAATGTGGGCCAAACAGAGAGGCGGTCATTGTTAGATGTTGTCAAATGGAGTCTCTGACTCATAGGACTCTGTGAGCAACGGCCCTGAGCCCTGTCCTATCCTGTGCCGTCCTCATCAACTCTGACACACTCGAGCCCATTGCTGTAGTCACGGGGTCTGTCATCCTACCTCATTGAGGGTCTTCCTCTCTTTCATCTCCCCCTACGTTTCCAAGCATGACGTCCCCCTCTAAGGAACAGACTCTCCTAGCAACATGCCCAAAATATGTGAGATGAAGTTTTGTCATCTTTTCCCCCAAGGAGCACTCTGATTGCACTTTCTCCAAGACGTATCTGTTTGTTATTTTGACCGTCCGTGGGATATTCATTACTCTTCTCCAACACCACCGCTCAAAGGCATCAGTTCTTCCTCTGTCATCCTTCTTCATTGTCCAGCTCTCAGATGCACAGCAAGTAGCCAATCAAGTGAAAACAAAGAAGAGTGCTTATTATTCTGTCGTTGGAGGTAGCGCCGATGTCTGAAGTGACTGTTGGGGCATCAGCCTGCCACTCACTGGCTGTCAAATGGTCCCAAGAAAAGGAGTCTAGACGCCTGTTTGGATGAGGCTCCCACTAGGCCAGTAAGTAGGCAACGGGTGAATTCCTGGATAAGAACACTCTTCTTACCTCTGGCAATGAAGCTTCTTCTCCAGCAACATGAGTCACTGTCCTTGTTAGAAGGACAGCTGTAAATGTGCTAATATCTCACCATCACTCTTATCTCCCCATCTGGTAGATCTTAGAGGCCAGTTTCTTGGCAGAGAACTTGACAGTGGTGTACTTGGCACTGTAGAAAACAGTGCCACTGGAGTTATAGATCCAGGCTGTATCATGCAGACTTCTTGCTAATTCAGACGGGGACTTCCTCACATTGGTTCTACTCTGTATCCACGGACGAGAGGGACTCTCCACAGACATTGTGCTTGTTCACACGCCCGGAGGTTTTGATCTGGGACTAATTGTCTACTTCCAAAGGTTCTGATACAGAGGACACAGACTAGTAGAGTAAGCCAAGCTTGATTAGCACCTACCAGCATCATTGCACCCAGTAGGGAGGAAGGGAGGGAGACTCACGTACAGGGAAAGATGTGGGGAACAGCGTTGGTGGTCAGAGTAGGGGAGGGGGTGGTGAGCTTGCTGCTGGCAGTCTGTGGGGCCCCCAAGGAACTCCAGGTCAGCCCTGGACACTCCAGAGGGGGCAGCACACGCTCAGCGGGTGCCGGCAGGTGTGACAACAGGAGAGAAGCCTGGAGGCTGTGATGTCAGGCCGCCTGGGAAGAGGGCCAGGCCGGCGGCTGTTTCTCCTAAGGACTGCCCTGTGGAGTGAGTGCACTTACTGCGAGGGGCCAAGTTCAAGGGCTGGGCTGCACATGCACAAATAACTCCACAGTCTCTCAAGTTACATCGCCAAAAGCTGAGCATGTCCTCCTTATGTGAGAACTGTGTTTGTGCCTACAATCAACCATGACTCTCTTGTCAAATGACATTGTATTGTGGATAACTTAGGGCCTTCGAGGATGTGCTCAGGGCCAAGGGATTAGCCATGGTACACGGTACCCTTTCCTGTAGGGCCCAGGCCCCACTGGGGGAATTTTACCTGCACGGTGTCAGTACACCACACCAGCCCATCTTAGGATAATCTCTGGTGTTAGGTTAGCTCTGATTTGGTATCAGGGATGTTTCTCAGGAGGATTCACCCTACCGCCATTTCCCCACATGAATCCTTGCAAAGGAAGCTTTCTCATTGCCCCGGCAAGTTGTTGTGTGTCCAGAGCTTTTCTCCCACTGTTCCCGCCAAGTCTAGCTCTAGAAGAATGTCATTATGATCCATATGCCAGAAACGGAAACTCATACTTCATGCTCGTGGGGGCCCAGCCAGACATTCCAGCTCACATTACTTATCATTCACCCTAGTGCTTTATTCTTGGGAGAAACATAGATCTCCCCTTAGGTCTGAGATAACGCCACATAACTCTCTCCAGCCACTTAGAGTCGAGAGCCTTTTAAGTTTCTCTTCCAGCGGCCTCAGGGAGTAGTCAGACTGGTGTGAACACTCACTGTGAATATTTGAAAATATGTGTGTGGGACAGGGGTGGGAGTGAGGAGAACCCCACTCTCGGCTCTGTTCTTACAGATCACACATTGCCGTCGAGTTAGAAGCGACTCACAGCTGATCCTCCAGCGCATTCCAGAGGCTGTAAATCGCACAGGAAGAGGTTGCCCATCTGTGTCCTAAGAAGCAGCAGGTGGATTTGAACTGCCTGCTTTTGGATTGGCAGAACAGCTTCCTATTCACTGGGCCACAAGAACTGCCTCTTTTATAGATAACTATAAGTGGGTTGGGTGTGTCGGAGGCAGTGAGACGGGCACAGGACAGAGTAGGGTTTAGGGCTGTTGTCCATAGGGTCGCTATGAGTCGCAGGCGACTCGACGGCATATAATGACAAATAACATCAATCTTCAGTGTGTGAGTGTGTGTAAGTCGACTGTAGCTAACTAAAGGCAGGTCCTGACCCCAAGTCCATTGTCACAATTACAGAATGGGCAAGGTTCATTTCCTGAACACATTTTATTAGTGTAACCAGCCGCAGGGCAAGCGTTCTTCGAGGAACTGGAGATGTGGACATGGACCAATCAGACCAGCGCTCTCTAAGGAGGTTCTGTCTCTGATAGAATGTACGGAAAAGGCTTGGGGGTTTTAACCTAACCTTTTAATGCAACCTTCCTCACCTTCGGCACAGTTGACACTTTGGCAGTCACTTGGCGGTGGGAGGATGTCCTGTGCACTGTGGGGCGATCCACGGCATCCCTCCCTCTGCAGCATCTTGTCTACTGAAGAACGCCACTTGCAGCCTCTGCACCACCACCCACGGTTGTGTCAACCAAGCATTTCTAAAGGCAGCACCAAATAAAGGAAAAGGGGGAAGGAATTGGGGGTCGGGCAGAGGCCGGGTTGTGAATGAACCTGGTGAAGGTCATTTCTTCTAGTGATATACAATAAAGCGAAGACTCTGTTTGGCACCTGAGCTGGGAGCTCTCCATTTCTGTTCGCACTAGAGGACTGCTCTTTTGGAGATGATCTGGATCGAGCTTAAGGTGAACAGAGTGATACAAGGGATCGAATCTTGTTGGATCTGGAAAGCAACAGAAGCTGCTGTCTGGCTAGGTGCTCAGGTGGTTCCCTGGAGGTACTTGGTGGAGTGTTTGGTTATCTGTCTGCAAGGTCGTCAGTCACGTGGAAGTGGGATTCCCGGGTTCTGTACAGTTCTGAAGCATAGAATCAGACCCCAGATGTGGAAACGTCAAGGAGCTAATACCCTGGAAGTAGAAACTTCAAGGCTCCTATTTTTGAAAATGGAAGTTGGTGTTTAAGGACAGGCTTCAAGAAACAAGCTCGTGTCAGTGACTGGTCGTTTAGATGTAGCTTTCGTGGTTTCCTTCTTTCTCCTTTCTGGTAGAGGGACTGGTATGGAGGGCAAGGAAGTGGAGCAAATAACAATGCAGGAAGACATGACTAAATCCTAAAAAAAAATAGGACTATTTTCCTAGTTCTAAGGATAGTTCCCACTTTTCATTGCTCAGAGGTAGTTCTGCTCATCCCTTCCTCATACCAATCAGAGGGGCAAAAATCTCACAGCCCCTCACCTATCTGACTTTCTGTCCTCAGATTGCCATGCCTTTTCTTCCTATAAGCGACAATCAAAGTGTCCTCAGGGGCTAGGAAACATTCTTCCCCTCCTGTCTTTTTACTTTCCAACCCCTTCAAAGCCTGGCTTGCCTGAAGCCGTATTAAGAAAACAGAAGATACTTTTATATCGGCAACAGAATCTTCCAGGATGACACTTTGCCTGCTCTGAGACTCAGTCTGCCTTTCTGTGGAGTTAAGCCCTCTCTTCATAAGTAGACATTTGATCTCACCTTCTCATGACCACAAGTTCCATAAAGGGGGTTTTCTACCTTAAAAACCAGGACCACACACCTATGTTTATTGCTGCTTTGTTCACAATAGAAAAGAATTGGAAACAACCCAAGTGCCCATCAACAAACAAATGGATAGAGAAGCTGTGGTATATTCACACAATGGAATTCTACGCTGCATTGAAAAACAAGGAACTCATGCAATACTATGCAGAATGGATGACTCTGGAGGACATTATGCTGAGTGAAAAGGAAAAAGGAAAAATACTACATAGTGCCACTGTTGTAAAACAGGACTGACATCAGGCTTGGGGTAAAACTAAGAAAAGAGG